GAACAGGGAAGAAAAGCGCTTCAGGAACAAAACCGATTAAGTATCTCGGCTCGATCTTCTCCAGCGACGGCAAAATCTTACAGTCTAATCCGCAGTTTCTAGAGCAATAAGGTGCCAGAAGGTCCTTCGCCTTATTGCAGGCATGATCAGAGACCATCGGAACAGGGTAGACATCGATGAGTGGGTTTGAAATGAAAGCACCCTTAACAATGAACTGCCAAAAGGTGCAATACTTTCTTCATCATCTTCGTTTTCCTTGACCGTTATTCATCGGGTCAGGTAGACGTCTCAGACAGTGCAATGTGAATATGGCCAGCAAGTCAGACAATGCAGCACGTTATTTCGTATGTCCACAGTGTTACTGCCGCAGCAATGCATTATCTGGACTCTGAACTATAAAATTACTAGTCCCCCCACCCAACCCCCGCCGCAATGCGACAGGAGGAAGTGGGCAGAACATCAGCTTAGTAGGATATAATATACAGTGCTTTGCAATGGCATTTGATACGCACGTTGTTCTCAGCTCACTCTCAGTGCGAAGTCAGATTTGTGAAGAGAGGTGAAGAATACGGGAGTGCATTTTCGTCAAATGCTATGACAGCTGGAAATACGAGTCTTGAATCGCTTAACGACTGGATACTTAGACAATAAAGACAATAATAAAAATAACGACTGAAAGAAACTTTATGCACTGATGATATACTGATGATTGTGTTAATCCATGTCCAATGAACGGTCAAGGATGAACATAATCTTCCAAAAACCCGGATGGGATGACTAGAATTAATCTCCCGCATTCATGTTGTATAAGTCCATGATTCATGAGGGGATCACATCTGAAGGGAATGAAACTTGTTCGGTAGAAAGCCAGAAACTTAAAATTTCTAAAAGGTTCAGGAGGGCCATCTCATTGCTTTATAAAAAAAGTTGTTACAAAGAAACAAGGAATTTTCATTTCGTATCGAGAACAAAATATTTCAGAGGCACTAGTTATTGGAAAAGAGCGACCCTAACTTTTAATATTAGGAACTTCAAATATTTTTTTATAGCCAGGGTAGCTCGGTCTGCAGTGTCGAACTCCTATTCCAAAGATCGTGAGTTAAAATTTTAACTAGACAAACTTTCAATCTTTCTAGGTAGATAAACGAGTATCACTACATGGGCAGGAAGCAAGATGCTAGGCGATCACCTGGTTGTCGAGACTGCCATCTGAACTTATGGCACTTTTCAATGACGGCAGCTTGATGAAGATAAGCGATGCAGCATAAACTACAAGAATGAGGCAATAGCAATTATGAATTGCATGGAAGATTGACATAGCTACAATTACAGATTTTAATTTCGTTTCTAGCATTTTCTCTTCACTGCGGTCATTTCTTTTCCCTTCATCGTTCCAATAAATTGAAACTGTCTCACAGTTTGAATCTTCTCGTTTCAAACTCTGCGCATTAAAATATTTAAGATGAAAAGCACTGAAATACAAAAAATGAAATCAGAGGTAGAATAGTTAATCTTGTTATTATAGCGTTGTCGCAAGTAAGTGAAAGAACTTCCACTAATAATGTCTTAAACATATGAACATACCTTCAACCGCATTTGCAAAGTTATCCACGACCACAAGATTATAACCTTTCTCCAGAAGCTCTACAGCAACGTGACTGCCAATGTATCCAGCACCACCGGTTAAAAGTATTGTCTGCTTCATTTTAATATCAGAGCTACAAAAAACAAGATGCTAACATTAGATATCATTATTGAAACCAACAATCAAGGGGTTTCACGTAGTAGTAAACAGCGAAGAACAACATAGCCGATCACGAACAGGAAATAAAGAAGCAGTAAATAAGCCAAAATTCTGATAGTTGAATTACAGAATCTGACCGATGTTTGCGACAGATGGCAACTCAGCTATTCTCACTTCTTTCAGGAGCTATTGTAGTCGGCACTCGTGTAGTAATATTTTACTCATATGCTCGGAGTACCCCGAGGAACAATCGATGACT